CAGCTCTTTATAGAATTTCACTAAACACATGTTCTTTTGTCCAGCAATAAATAAAGTGGAGATACTTCTGTTTTCAAACTAGCCCTCTGACCTGCAGTCTGACACTTTGATCACAGTTTTTCACATAAAATTCAGTTGTTTAAAAAGAACATCTTCATAAATAGAATTTTTGCAAACTCTATTGGTGGGCAAAATGTTATTTACTTTTTCATCAGGCGGCAAACTCTACAGTCATGCTACAGTTTGTTACAATAAAAACTAATGTACTCAGTTCAAAAAGAATTAATCGGAAAAACAATTGATGAATTTCAAAAGTGTAAATCCACATGTGTGCTACACACATACCTTTTGAGAAGTACAGTCAAAAGTCGTTAATCCGGACTCGTCGGGACTTCGGCGATTCCGGATTATAGATCATCAGTTTAAATCTGGTAAGATGACATGCAGAAATTACAAAATTAAAAATATGAAACCGTAATTTATGAAATAAAGAACAATTATGATCTAAAGGGTATCAAAATTTACAAAAAAAAAAAGCTTAATATTTATTTGTTTACTTTATTAAACATTTCCTTTCAATGTAAGTTGTTTAAGTTGCTTCCTTTCATGTGATAATACTTTCTCTTTAATTCTATTAAACAGACATAATTTCTTGTTTAGTTACAAAATTCCGCTGTTCAAGACCTATAATTGTTTAAATCATATCAAAGACGGAGTACATCGACATGAAATACGACATTTATTAAGGAATTATAAACCAAATAAAATAAAAACATCTGCCATGAAGATAAGGATAGTGCTGACAGATCCACTTCCAATTCATTACGCGTCACGGCGTTTCCCCCCCTTTCCCCGCCGCAGAACAGCGTGAAATTGATAAACAGATTTCGGATTTCGAAACATACTTTCGCTTTGTAAATCCTTTACATATTAGTAAATATATATCGGAAATTCTATTTGACATAATCGAAAGTTCAAGCTTACTTTTATAAAATTGCTCTAACAATCTGCAAAAAATAATAAGCCGGATCCAATTCGAAGATTAAGGAGCAACGCAATCTGCAACATTAACTGAATTAGATAATTTTAGCTTACCTTTTACCGTCCGTTATACATTAAACGCGCATGCGCACACGTATATTTGCAGCCGTAAAGGTCTTACGCACACACGTTAACGCCTATGCGCGTGCGTCAAAGCGACGCATGCGCAGAAAGTTTGTAGCTTTGAGGTCTGGATTATAAATCATTCCGGATTATGGGTGTCCGAATTAACGACTTTTGACTATTGGTATTTCATTGATGTTATGGATTGTGTTTCAAAACTGATGTTATGTTTGTATTGTTGCCATACAAAATTCTTTCTTTTGATGTTGTGTTTGTATTGTTTACTTTGTTTTTTTGTATTATAATGTTATTTCTTAAGTATATTCTGGACCCTGAAAAATAAGTATTTTTGTGATATATTCTTCTGATTATTATTATTTTTTTTTTCTTTTTCTGCTCTGATTAAAGAAGATTTTATGATATAAATAAATAATCTATGAATAACCAGTCACTGACATAAATAGCTATAGTGTATTTTTTAAATCAATAATAATTAATTTAGTATTTCCTGCTTTGTATAGTTATAAAAATATATATGTTTGGATGTTTTTTTCCCTTTCCTTATTCCTTTCTGAGCTAAATTAGATATTGCTTTTATATTAGACACAGATGCTAATCAATTTATTTTTGGGAATCCAGTTCTGCCTTCAATTTGTATGGAGTCATAGTATCTAATGCGGAAGGCAAGTCTGCTGATTTTGTGTGCCTTTAAGCAAATTAGTATTAGCACTTACTACAGACTAAAGGCAGATAATTTATTGCAATACTGTTAACTTAAGGAGATATTTTGTTTGGTTAAGTTTAGGGACAAAGATTCCCCCCCCCTCAGTCTCTGCTTTTGATTTCCTCGCTTTTCCTAGTTCTTATTTGTATATGGTTTTTCCACAAGGGAGTATCTTAATCCTTTCTTTGGTCTAACAATCATCTTTTAATAGTTTACCTCACTTGATAAAGATCGACTTGATGTTGTGCTGAGTTTGAGATCTCTCATTATATGTTTAATGTCACACATATTTTAATATTTTGTTCTAGGTTTATTGCCTTTATTTCTAAATGAATTGCAGTATACTAATTAAAGCTGTTTAGCAATTAAGGCTGCCTTATTTAATCTCATTTATTAAAACTGTATAGCTTTATTTTCAGTGTTATTATCATAGCACAGTTCACTATACTATGCTATGATAATAATAATACTGAAAATATTCACAATACTGCTAGCTTTTCAGTTATGACTTATTTTTCTACATTTTTTTGTTATCTTCATTTTAAACTATTGATGTTTATAAACATTGATGTAAATTGCTGGTGTTCATAAATGCTTTTAAATTTGCTTAACACTTTTTGGCTTTACACTTTGACACTTTTTTTAAGAAGACTGGGATACATTTAAATTTGATATAGGCAGTTATATAGTTAATATAGTACTTTTTATTAATTTTTGTCAGATTCTCCTAGTTAAGATAATATTAATATTTTTATTTTATGATGAAAATTGCTCAGTTCGATATATATTCCATTTTATACTTGGAATTTCTTTCTACTTTTTACTGTATGTGGTTTTTATATAGTATTTTAATTAATTTGCAAATGGAAGAGTAGGGAATGAATATTAGTGTGGATATATCTAAAGTTGTCATTTTAATAAGAATGTCATTTAAAGCTTTTTAAAACTTAATGGTTGCTTTAAATTTATTTCTGTAAATACTGTATATTACTTGTAGGAATTTATTTATAGAAATACTAGTGTTTTTTATAGTATTGCATTTATATAATATAAAAGCAGTTGTTCTAAACAGTAGCTATTTAAGTCAAGTTGTTTCAGTATTAATGAGGGAAAATATAAAATTGAAGCAAAAATGCAGGAAAGTTTTGCTTATTGTTTGCACAGGAGATAAAATGTCATAAACAGCATTATGTAGATCATGTGATTTTTATTGAATTAACAACTGTTTCAGAAATGCACATTTTTTTCCTTTTTATCTAAAAGGCAATAAAAATTACATTGAAAGTGCAGTTAATAAAATTAGTAGATGGCTTAATTAAAAATCTGAAAGAATACATGATGCCTGGAAAAACAATGTTCATGATTTTTAACACAAGAATTTTTGTTTAGATCATCATGTTTTTCTTAGCATATCTGTGAATCATCACTTTTTAGGTCATAACTCATATGAGGTAACAGCATTTTTTGTCTTTCCCTTTGTGATATTATTTTTGTGACCTGTGTCATGAATTTGCTGATAGGTTTTGTTCTTTTCATGAAAATTCCAATCTACCCCATTCCTACTCTCAGTAACAAAGTGGCCCAAGAAAGTCATGTAGCCACTCTCATTCGCATTCTTTTCTGTTCTTAGCCATTAGCAGGCTTGCATGAAGTTTCATGGCTGTATTATATTTTAAGCTAAGCTTTTAGTTCATGATGGGTAAGTTTCTTAGTTTATATCCAGACTTACAAATATTATGTTGTCTATGCAAGTGAAGATAATGAACAAGAAAAAAAAAGAAATTGACAAGGCAATGGAAGTGAAATTGAATGCCGGAAGAGTTTTGACATTAGGAATGTGCAAATAAAATTGGATTGGATTAGGTGTTAAACGAATTATTATGAGTTGTTAGTAACCTATCCCTTCTTCCATAAATCTTGACATTTTTGGTAACTTGCCACCCTCACAGTCCACGTTAGGTCAAATTTGCTGGACTGTAGTGTATGATGAGACAAGAGAATAAAATTTCTGCTTATAAATTGCAGCTTATTCATCACATTTTAGCAAAAGGCATCTGTGAAAAGTTCACGTGTGACTTCCATTTTAGATGTTACTGTTAAACAAGGAAATTACTATTGGTAAATCAGTCACTCTAATTCCCAAGTGTGAGATTTCATAAAATGTGCATTAACTAAAAAAATTTTCTATAATAGCCTAAAAGACAATATCTGTTGTAGTGTTGTGTATAGTTATATTGCTGAGCCATTCGTTTTCCTCCGAGGAGAGAGTTAAGTGTAATACACTTAGAAGTACCAGAAAGCATTGTCTCTTCTGACTAAAAATCTGAGTAACTTTATCACTTTTCAACATCATGGAAGACTGTCACATTATTGGATATACCTGTAAAATGGGACTAATTTATGAATCATCACGTAACCACTCAGGAAGTGAATGGACAGGAAAAATGTTAATTTGACTCCAGTTTCTTTTTAGAGCTGCTTCAAAGTTATTCTGTAGCTATGAATAATCTGTCTCTTTTCCATTTGTGTAATCAAATAACAGGAACAACTGAGGTATTCAGATGGACAAGCTTACTAGAGCATGCTCTCTGAAATTGCATTCTCTCTCTCTTTTTCTTTCTTCTCCTTCTTCATCTTCTTTTCCTTTTCTTATTTATTTATTTATTCATGTCTGAAAAGATTGTACAATTAAACTGAGAGGTTGCCAAACCTATAACATTCTACTTGGGTGATATATGCTATTTCAGAGTTGCATAAAATATCTTTCAAATTGTATTAAAAAACACTTTTTTTTAATCATGGCATATAGCCAACTGCATATAATTAAATATCTAAATACAGTTTTTTTTCATTGCCCCACCAGTGGCCAGGCTGTTAAGACTCTTGAATACTGGTAGTTTAACCAAACTGAGGTGAACAGACTGCAAGCATTATTAATTTTTAGCCCCCTCCCTTTTGTGTGTGTGTGTGTGTGTGTATGGGGTGAATATAAGCCAATTTTCCTTAGAAAGTCTGCCATGAAGGCATCCCTTCCCTTAGGCAGGTATGCCTTATCTTCTTTGCCATATTCAAATAACCAGAAGTTTCCCTTCGTTTAGTGTAAAAGCTACTATTTGTTCTAAAAGATATTAATTGAACTATTTGTAATAATGATTGATATTTTGTCTTGCAGCAAATCAAGAAATCTCAGTGAAAAGAAGCGCCGTGATCAGTTCAACATGCTCATCAATGAGCTATGTTCCATGGTCACTTCGAACAGTAGGAAGATGGACAAATCATCTGTACTACGTTCGACGATATCGTTTCTCAAAAACCACAGTGGTAATGAGATAATTATATATATATTTCATACTAGTATTCATTTTAATGATAGTTTAAAGATGAATATGTTTGCTTTTTAATTCAAGCAAGAAAATGAAAAAGGAGCTGCATGTTTTTGTTGCCTTTTTTTTAAAATAAATTTTGGACTTCTATATAAAGCTTTTTAACATAGAGAATTTTATGAAAGTAATTTCAACACTGTTAAAAAGAAGGAATTTCCTAAAAATAAAAATGTTTTACACACTTCCTACACAGCAGTGGTTTTGACATTTTTCATAGATTATATTTCTTGGTCGTGATCAAAATTATAATGTACTTTTGAAATAAAATTTCCATCGGGGGTTCTCAGAAGGCATTTGTAACTATTTGGGTGCATTATGTTGGATTTTTTAGTAAAAATTTTTAATAAATGTATTGAAAAGCATATTTATACGAAATGTTGCTTGTGTATATAATAATTTTTATCTAAACATAGTCTATATCAGGTTTACCAGTTCATGTCGAAGAAAGAGAGTGCTGCCTGCTGTTAGTCAGTGCGTTGGGCACTTTATAAGCAACATTATAAGTTTGCACAGCTCCATCTCCACGTTAAACATAAACCATTGAATAATGGCTATAACTTTTTTTTGGCTGTAAAATCAGAGACGAAAAAAGTGTACCTTGTTTATTGAAAATTATATAGGTTGTAAAGGTGTACGTATACAAGTTGGTACAAAAGTAATCGTTTGAAATTATTTTTGCCTGTATGAAATGAACACTAAAATCATATTAAGATGAAATAAGAAAACAGTTTACCTCATCATTTAAGAGTGTTCTGCATGAGCACCTTTAGTAACAGTTGCAATATAGTCCTCAGATTCTGTTTAGACACATTGCAGCATATCCTTAGAAACTAACTCTTGCTTCGAATGTGTTATCAGTATCACCCTCATCAAGTGAAGGTAAAAGTGGTGGGTCGTTTCATACAGGAATAAGTTGTGTTTTCCATCATTGTTTATTCTGTAACTCTGTATAATATGACTCTATATAATTATGTATATATGTATGAAGAGCATAAATTTTATTATAATTAAAAATGTAACTTAGAATCCTTAAAGCTTCAAAAATGCTGAAATCCAGATATCTCAAAATTTTAGGTAATAGAGCATATGAAAAATGCAAATGATGGCAGAAGAGTCAAATAAATAATGGAAATTTCTGGTCTATAATTAAAAAAGAAATAATCTTATTTGTAATCAACTTAAATATCAAAATACTGCAATAAAAATATGTAAAATTTTGAAAAAAATTACATTTCAGGCATGAAAGCTAGTGTATTTCATAGCCCTTAAAACATGAAACATATTATCCTATTATGAAATCACATCAGTCATGAAAAATTGCAATAATTATGCCAATCATCCCAAAAGAAGTTTAAAGAAGTACATCATTCTTTATTTAGTTATATTATCAAGAGATACACGTTATGGTTATAGCACTTCCCCGCCCACCCCAAAAAAACTTAACCACTCAACAGTTTCACCCCCCCTGAGTTCAATCCCAAAAATGTCACATTTTTTATTGCAATTTTTCATTTTGCATTTATTAATAGGAAAATGTTATTGCATTTGTAATTTTTAAACATTTAAAATATTTTTTTTACTGCAAATGAAATAATATTTTCCCTGGAAGTTGTCTTTTCTTCCTACATGAGTGCATAAAGGAAAGTTAAATTTACAGTTGTATGTATTAAAAAAAATACAATTATTTCACAATTATGTTCCAATTCCAGTTACATTTACTTGGTCTCCCCCCCCCAACAATCTGATTTAGTGTGAGTATCTTAAAATAAGACAAGAGGCACAGACCAACATGACAATCTAGACAAAAGTACTGTATGTCTTTTCTAATTCTTTTACTGTTTTTTCCCTCCAGTAAATATAAGTAACATCATCTTGCAGGTTTTGGTTCTTTTTTTTTTTTTTTTTTTTTTCCTATATAGATAAAAATCTTTCTGAAAAATGTGTTTCTGCTAGTCTTGGTAGGGTTGGGACACATCCAGGCAGACTTTATATTACTGCATGTTTTTCAGTTAGATAATATCCAATCAAAACTGTAATTTTGCATGTTTACCACTGTGTTTTTTATACTAATATCAAAGCCATCTAGAGAATTTACACTAGTCCCAGACTCATTTATAGACAGTTCAGATTTGACTCACAAGAAATTAGCTGTGTACGTCTGAGCCAGCTATTATTTTTATGGCTAAACAGTTTTAACTACTTTTACATCAATAAAGTAAATCAAATCAACAAAATACATGTGAAAGCTAAATATTGAAAAATGAAAAATCTGCCGAGTCTGCAAGAAACGTGAAACATGCATGCACTTTTTTTTTATGGAACAAACTAGACTTTACAAACTACCACTTAATGGACATCTAACAACCATCTGTCTTATTAATTTAATATTAAAAACAGAAAAGATGTAGGCAAAATGGGAAAATAAATGGAGAAATGAGATTAAATCAGTAAATGCCCAACAGCAGTATCTCCCATATGACACATAAGCAAAACAGACAAATGTTTAAACTGCAAATTATAGTTTTTTGTACTGTGTTGCTATAGTTTATTTGTTTTTGAATAAAGTTATATATCTTGCAAATTAGCCAGGATCCTGTAACTTAAAAAATACTCCACTTCATGCTGTTCCTTAGAAGGCATTTCTCAAATTTTAATCATTTTTTCAAAATGTGAGAGTTAAGAATTGCTCATATTTTATGACTTACGTCTTGTTGCCTTTAATTCAAAGATTATGCATTGTAACATTGTATAATGAAAAAGTTTCAAAATGTTTTTCTTAAAAATCTTTAAATTACTTTACTTAATAATCTTTAAAGTCAGTTGGTAATTGTAGACTTAAATGTTCTTTTATCCAGAGCTATCTGTGCAGTCTCAGAATGTGGAAGTTCAAGAGAACTGGAAGCCTTCCTTTTTATCCAATGAGGAATTTACTCATCTGATGCTAGAGGTATTAAATTTTTCTTTTTGTTGTGCTCTTTTTTAAAATTGATGCTTTAGCTCTTTGAAGACCAAAACGTCTGAGATGGCTTTTCATTCAATTGAAGACAACCACCTGAAATGTCCCAGATTGTGATATTGTTTTCTTCCCTCCCCTTAATAAATGCAGGCAAGTGCAGTTTCTCCAAATGCATTGTATCAGTTTATTGCAGACAGCTTTGTCTTAAAAAGATTTGTTTGTGGTTTCTTATCTTTATTTGTTAGGAAGCAGAAAGGATGTCATTTGAAATCTTCACACCTCTTCATGCATTATTGGATAGGTAGGGGAGGAAATTGCTGTGGATCTCAAAAGCCATTTCAGGATGTTTGGTGTTTTAAGCATACAGATTAACAAAGGCTTCAGATTTCTTAGAGTTATTGGATACAGGTCACCCTCATATAATGCTGTAGAAAAGTTCCTAGAAAATGACGTGTTTTACAAGATCCAGAGCCAATATAAAAAGGGGGTTTACGTTCCAAAAACTTATTAAAAACAAATATTTTTTAGTTCTACATAAACAGTTTAAGTTTTATTAAGCATATATATGTATGTACAACACAAAACAAAAAATATTACATATTTTAATATAACACAACTTTAGCTTAATAAATTTCTTCTTTGTTACTACTCAGTATAATCAACAGAGAATGCTTTTTCAGTGGAATGAGATCACTTTGACTTTCAGAATTTCTTTCTTCATTTAAAGGTCTGGCATTTTCTTCCTTCTTTAAAAATACTGTCATTTTACTTTGCTTACTAGTTCTTACTGGATCAATGTAAATTTCTCTATATGGAGCTAGATAGTTTTGCAGCTCCCTTTTGAATTTTCAACTTATTTCAGTGGCAGGGTCTGCACTCAAGAAGAAAAATGATTCGAAATTTTCAGCCAAGCTTAGGCTTTCTTTTAATTTTTTAAAGTTAAATTATTAACCGCTCATTCTACATCAGTGCTAGTGTCCTCAGAATCAATCTGATTTATGGCTTTGGATGGCAATTTCCATCAAATTTGCTTCGTTAGTTTCTACTTCCGCTAATAAATCTTGAACATCCTCAATAGCCATGTCGACAAAACCTTTGCCTCCGATTGATTTAGCAAGCTCCAATAATACATTTTCTGACGATTCATGCACCTTTTCTATTTTCAACTATTGAAGAGGGCCATATTTTCTAACAGGGTTCATAGTGGTCCTTACAAGTGCTTATAAGTCCTTATATTTGAAAATAAAATATAAAGGCCGTTATAGGTGCTTATTTTTCCTTTAAAGCCCTTATTTTTTTATTTTTAGTGCTTATTTTTTGCTTTTAATGCTTTTTTAATGAACGCGCATTTTTCCCCCGTACCAAAGCCGAAACTAAATAAACAACTTTTCTTCCTCATATGCAACGTCAAATGGGGAATCATACTCCCGGAAATTGCTTTCCCCTCCTTTCTCTGTATTAACGTAACCTACGCGAGAGTACAGACAGGTGCAAGTCGTTCTATTGGTCAAAGAACTGCGAAAACGGTAGAAAATTCCAGTACATTCGGTATTCTTTTCCTCCCACCCAAATACTACACACGTTTGAATTTCTATCAAGATTTTAATAATTTGCATTCTCGTTCCGCGTGGTCAGTTCATATTCGTGTTTATTATGATCGTTATGCTTATATTATGAGCATATGAATGAATATTTATAATAATATAGTTGCAGTAACTGCTGAAGTATAGATAAACTTCCAAAAACGGGTGTGTTTTTACACAGATTAGCTTTCTAAGGAATAATATTCGGAATGGCTTAAATAAAAGGAAAGTAATAGAATACTCAAAATATTTTTTTTTTTTTTCCAATACATTATACAGTACGGAGGTTGGGAGGTTCTCCCCTTTCTCCGCAAAATCTCTAATATTGAAACAGCGTTTTTTTTTTTTTTTTTTTTTTTTTTTTTTGTCACTGTCCAATCTGGATTGAATAGACTAAAAGTTTTTGTGGTCTACCCAGCCCAAGCGTAGATTGATTCTATTCCGGAAATTTAACGCAGTCTGTTGAAAATTAGAATCAGAAGCACTCCAGATTAGCAAGTCTCTTTTTTTCCTTTATTTAGTTCTTTATTCTCCGAATACCGGCAGCTGTTGATTCCGATTGCGTAATATCACATGTGGAAGAATTACACCGCACGTATTGCGCAATAATGTTTGCGGTATTTTGCAGAGATAATTAATTTTAATGTTCAGTCCGAGATTTGTTTATGAACACTTAAAAGAGTTTTACTGTGCTTTCTAAGCAGAATATTTCTCAGTTCCATTGGTCTATTTTTATATGATGCACATATCGAAATGTCAAAATCAATTATTTAGCCAAGAAATCTAAAGAACGGCTACAATCTTCCCCACTCCTCTTTTTCCAGTTACTATCCGGAATATTTGTCAATTTCCAAGTATGCAGGTTAGTTAAGCTTTTACTGTTAAAGGATGACTGCATGAAGCAATTTCCCATCTTCTGATTTCAGAAATGTGCCTCTTTTTTACTTAATTTACTTTGCTTGGAATATATGTTAAGGGAAAACTGTTATGCAATGAAAATTTATAAAATGTTCAGAATTTTTATTTAAGTTAAATTATTTAAATATTAATATGAGTGGGAAAATAAATTGTATTTATTATTAGGTGCCAAACAAATACAATTAATATGGCTTATTATTATTATTTATTTCTTGTATTTTGAACTGAAATTTCAATGCTCATTCTCTTAATAAATCTTGCATTGCTCATATTTTAAATTACAAGTCTAATTTTCTTTTAAGGTTATGCAGTTGTATATAATGTAACTAGGCAGGTGTTTATTTTTTCCTTAAAATGTGCTTGAAAAGTGCTTGTAGGTGCTTATTTTTTTAACTAAACTGTGGCTACGAACCCTGTTCTAATATCAGGGGTGTTTGTGCTCTGGGGAAACCCCGGAATTCCAGGGATTTTGAACTTCGATACCCAGAAATTACGGGGATCGTCGTTCAAAAGGAAGTATTAATAATAATGAATTATTTATTTTGATCTGGGTAATTTTGTTTGCTTTGAAAGCAGAAAACGCAAGGTCAGTGTGTGTGGTGAAAACTTTTCCTTTCTTTCTCCAAAGGCAGTGATAATGCGTGAAAAGGGGGGAAAAACTTCTTTTTTGTTCTTTCCTTATTGCGAGTTATGACTCATTCCCCCGGTTCTCGGACATTCTCTTCTGGATTCTTTTCGGCAAGTAGGCGCGGCAGAAAAAAAAGGGAGAGACTTCGTTCGACCAGATGTGCGATCACGTGACTCTGGGTTCAAAGGTCTTATCTCTCCTGGCGTGGCGCCAATAAGTAGAGAAGGGGGATTTTTCGCCGTATTAGCTATTTGTCATTGATCGCTTCTCAACTTTTTTTTCTCCGCTGTGTAAAATTTTCGTTTCATTTATTGATGCACGTGTAAATTTTTCGTTTCGTTTATTGAAATATTTTTTTATTTATGTACGCAAGAGAATTTCACTATGAAATTTCTCGATATAAATAGTGATATTATACAATTAGAAGAAGGTGTCCGGAATGCATTTAGGTGGAATTGGATTGAACAGAGAGATGGTAATGGGGATACCATCGGCACATGGTGCAAGAAAATAAATGTTGCTGGACAAGCATATTGTGTTTTTTGTAACTCACTGCTGAAGTATGGTGGGGAAGGATTCAAGGCAATTCAGAAGCTGTTTTTGAAGCAGTTCTTAATACTATTGAAGATAATAATATTCCATGGGCAAACTTAATTAGTGTATTAATGGACTCGTGTAACACCATGTGTGGAAAAAAAAAGGGTGTTGAAACCAGATTACGATCAAACAAAGCACCCCACTTATTAGATATTGATGGTGACACATGTCACACAGCTAATAACTGTGCAAAAAAAAATTTGCTTCATTTTTTGATAGATACTTAGAAGATTTGTTTGATGACATCTATTTTGATATGAAAAGCTGCAGTAAAAGAGAAAATTTTTTTCAAAATCTGTGAATCCCTTGCCATTAAAAAACTTAAGCCCTTAAGAGACCAGACCATAGGTGGGTGTACATTTTATGTGTTTTAGAAAGAATCAAAGATCTGTGGGATGCTCTTATTGCATTTTATTTTCACTACTTGGATAAAACTGATAAAGGGGATTATTTTTCTTATGTTGAAACTGTATACAATAAAAGAAATATTTCTGCAGCTCAGAAAAAAAATTGTTGAAGGGGTGTATTCTTGCTTGCATTCCCAACAACTCACAAAGGATGCTTTAGCTCGGAAAAAAAGAATACTAAATGGGTTATTTGTTATGCAAAACAAAACTTTATTGCATATGGCATTATATTCAGCAGTATTACCAGAGTTCAACACATATATTAAATTATTTGAAACAAAAAAACCAATGCTTCATTTAATACATTCCAGTATTTATAAATTGATGGCAAAATTTTTCTCTTTTTTTATGAAGCCAGAAAATATAGAGTGCACATCTTATAATGATTTATTAAAGGTTGATGTCACAAATCCAGAATTCCATCTACCTAGCAAAGTAATATTTACTGGTGCAGAAGCTTCCACTCTCCTGAAGAAATTATCAAAAAATCATCCAATAGCAAAAGAATTCCAAATTTCTCTGATGAAAGCTTATACTAATACAGCACAGCATATGAAACAGAAATTACCCCTTAAAAATTCATATCTAATTAGTTTTACAGCATTAGATCCAGAGCTAAGAGGTAAAACCAGTACAATATTAGCTTTTGAAAAATTATCATCTTTTATGTCCCATATATTTTTAGTGATAATGAAAAGTCAAAAGTAGAAGCTGAAATAAGGTTATACCAGAGTGATATTGATATCACCAAAGAAATGCTCTACACATCTGATGAAAGTGGAAATCAAGTCAAGTGTACAATTGATAAATATTGGTCTAAAGTTTTTAATTTAAAAGATGATTTCACAAATGATTATA